ACGATGGACGCCGCGCCTTGGCAAAACAGCAAGTGAGCTAAAAACGTATTCGTTTAATATACGGAACTGAGGTCTGGTTCCCAGTTCCGTTTAAGGAAAAACGTAACTGGAGTCTGACACTCAGTTCCGTATAAGACCAATTACTTTATAGAGGCTATTGTGGTCTTAATTTTCGTGTGAAAGGTTGTGGGTTCGATTCCTGTACCTGATTCAGATATAACTACGCGCCTTTGACCTTCCGTTTTGCGAAGTAAACAGGGAAAGAACTACCAAAAAAAATAATAACGTTTACTATACGGACCCCGGTCTAGTTCCCAGTTCCGTTTATGTTAAACGGAACTAGGGTCTGGTTCCCAGTTCCGTTTAATGAAAAACGTAACAGGAGTCTGACACTCAGTTCCGTATAAGACCAATTACTTTATAGAGGCTATGGAGGTCTTAAATTTCGTGTGAAAGGTTGTTGATTCGATTCATAAACCTGATCCAGATATAACTACGCGCCTTTGACCTTTCGTTTTTCGAGGTAGACAGGGAAAGAATTACAAAAACCGTAAACGTTTACTATACGGAACTGGGGTCTGGTTCCCAGTTCCGTTTAAGGAAAAACGTAACTGGAGTCTGACACTCAGTTCCGTATAATACCAGTTACTTTATAGAGCCTATGGTGGTCTTAATTTTCGTGTGAAAGGTTGTGGGTTCGATTCCTGAACTGGATTGAGTTATAACCATCACCTTTGAACTTTCGTTTTGCAAGATAGACAGGGAAAGAATTACAAAAAACATATACGTTTACTATACGGAACTGGGGTCTGGTTCCCAGTTCCGTTTAAGGAAAAACGTAACTTGAGTATGACACTGATTCCTGTCCTTGATTCAGATATAACTACGGGCCTTTGACCTTCCGTTTTGCGAAATAGACAGGGAAAGAATTACCAAAAAAAAAGTACGTTTACTATACAGACCCCGGTCTGGTTTCCAGTTCCGTTTATGTTAAACGGAACTGGGGTCTGGTTCCCAGGTACGTTTACCTTAAACGGAACTAGGGTCTGGTTCCTAGTTCCGTTTACCTTAAACGGAACTAGGGTCTGGTTCCTAGTTCCGTTTATCTTAAACGGAACTAGGGTCTGGTTCCTAGTTCCGTTTAACTTAAACGGAACTAGGAACTAGGAACTAGGAACCAACTTCAGGCTCCCCCTAGTCGTGCGGAGCACAACAGCCTTTTACATACTAATATATACTACTACGGCACTCTCCAATAACCACGACTAGCTCTAACAACTTTACCTAGTCACGACTAGCCTGGTCGCGACTACCCTAGTCAAGACTAGCACTGCATAACGTTAGCCTATGCCCATGACGCTTTCTGTCGAACTGTATCTCGCTACAGCACTCAATCGTTTATTTAATATATCTTCCAGGCAATGTGTGGATCAAGGCAAGACTTATTCAGTCACTTCTATCTTTCCAACACAAAGCCGGTCTCACATAATTAGGTACTTACGATCTGTTACTGCTGTAAACACGCGGAGATCAGAACAGAACTTAGTCTCGTTCAACCAGACGCTTGATCACTTGTTATTCAAGAGTCTGGTCAAACACAGTGCGTTAACATTATCACTACAGAGGGCAGTATTTCTACTTTCGTTTCCGGACGTTATACCAACGCCATTAAACATTTCAATGAATAATGAAATTAATGAAAAAACTTACCTATATACATGCATTCCTGGAGTACTCGTGTATTCACTATTATCGAGAACAATGTAAGAAAATGTGTCAAATCTCCAGAATAATGCCATATATTTCCATTGAATAAATCATAACTAAGCACAAAGACAACAAGGCTGACTGAAGTTTGAAAAAGCATGCAAAGCAAGTGAGATTTTACCTGTACACCATTCAAAACACCTTCAAGTTCTCATTCAGGTAATCTGGATTGACTTGTAACAATAGCCTTGTTAGCTTCATGAATAATTGTAAAATATCCAATGAAAATACATGAAATCATTCTTTTTTAAGCATTTTCAGGAATGCATATACAGGTAATTTTTTAATGAATTCAAATATTTAATGTAATTTTGGGCCACTCAAATTCTGACTTCAAAAGTTAAAAAGGGTGTGTCAACCTTTGACCACGGACTTAGATCTAATCTAATGGGTCTCGCACACGGTTTTTTTGCAGTCAGGGGGCGCCACTGCACTAGCGGGTATAACTTTCGGAACTCTTCTGTGTCGTCAGGTAAACAAATGGCGATCGCAATTTAACTATAGATACATTTCTCACTGTCATTTATCACCATGCCACAATACTGCTGTGTCCCCGGGTGTAAGAATTCGGGTGGTCATAAATTTCCAACGGAAATAGCTTTGCAGAAAATATGGCGAATTGCAATCAGGCGAGTGGATACCGTGACGAAAGGCCTGTGGCAGCCAGGGAAATCGGATGTTGTTTGTCATCGCCATTTCATAACGTCGGATTACAAGAACACACTATTAGGTACGAACTAATATTCTAATGAATACTTATCTGTTGTTAATAAGTTACTGGTTATAAGCACGGACCTATATTTATGTTAAATAATTGTACGCATGTAATCACGGTCAGTACACAATTTTTTTATTGGTGTTTTTTTTTTTTTTAAATATTGATCTTGTTATTTTTCATTAATTTAAGTGAACTTTTTTTTACATGCCCCTAGTCAAGTATCGATATATGACGCAAAGTTCCTTTGAAAATGTTAAAGGTTGAAATCATTAATCATATTTGAATACAAATTCTATTATTTACTTGTTATCAGAAATTAAATTCACGAAAGGCTAATATATACATCGATTCATATATATACATACAATCTGTGTATTTAAATGTGTGTCTTTATTTTAGATACTTGACTAAACATGATTAAAGACAAAAAAGGGGGATTTACTTAGTGAAGTCAGGACTGGGTTATTATAAATAAAAAAATATATATTTCTGATATGAAAGTGTACATTTTCCTATCATACAACTATAAGATACATGTACATGTACCATTTCAACAGATATCTTACTACAATGGCCGTATAAACATTTAGGACACTAACATTTATGGTGACCTCCTTACAACTATTGCAAGAAGAATATAGTCTTGAAATATTTTCAAAATGATTTTTCTGGCTAATTATAACTTTGACTTAACTTTGAAGACTTTCAGTACAGTTTGAGTATTTAATTTTAAGTACTGTAAGTTTATAATTTATTAATAAAAATAATTAATTTTCATTATTCACCGAGAACGGCACTAGTCAAATATCTGTTAAAAGGGGGAACTAGCTAGTTAATATGTACATATAAGGCCTCTAAAAAACAATGTGTGTTTCCTGTTTCCCCCTACCAACCCTAGATTTTTGTGCCAACCCTTAAGTTTTTATTGGCATTTAGTGATATAAAGCACTGTTCAAGTCAAAACTCCTGCTCTTTATTAACAGCATAGTAAAAATATATATATAAAAAAAAGAAATTGCCTAGCACCTCATTTTTTTCAAGCAGAACCAGGAAACACACAAGAATAATCTCTTCCCAACAAAGAAACATTAGTTACTCAAGAAAGTCATTTTACAGTGATGTGAAAACATCCAATTTAGATTCACTTTAGCTGTATTAAATCCCTCTATAAAAGTTTGTGTTGCTTTGTGTGTTTTTCTTGTTTATTTTCCCCAGGTTAGTGCAACAATAGTAAGCATGGACAGCACCCTCTGAATGGAGACAATGATATAATGCGGTATGAAAGTATGGTTTGTGCATTAAATATGTTAACTCTTGTTAGTAAGAACACAGTTTAAATTATAATAAAATAACTTGAAAGTTGTGTGAAATGTAAAAAAAACACCATAATGCTGAGTTTAAGAAAAAACAATTTTCATTTTCACTTCTTATTTTTTTAAATTTAGTATTCAATACTTCCCTATGACACAATAATACAATTATTTAATTTTCTTCAGGTTAATACAAGGTTTGATCACCCCAATACAAAATTATATTCACCAAGGAACCCTTTTTATGGGAGATTATGAATAGAAAGAAATATCAATTATCACTTTATTATGACAATGACATATATTCCAAAATCAAACAAATTCACCAGAATGACAAGGCATATTACTTTTCTAAGACTGTCACTAGAGAATTCAAAGGAAATATTTTTTCGTACTGTACATCAAACAATAACTTTTGTCGAGGACATTTACACTAGACAGTAATGTGGGAATATGCCAGATTGCAACTGCTGAAAGGTTGCAAGTCATTTATAATCAAGTTTAAACAGCAATTGATGCAGTAACTATTTCATCAATAACTGTGTAAAGGTTTGCACTCCTTCAGTCCTTACTTCCGTCCAAGAAGTTTGTCCAGGGCAAATCTTCTATACTATTTCACCTGTGGTAATTAGATTTGGTGTACAAGGACATCTTGGGATGGGGAGTGCAGAGTGCAAGAAGAATGTCACTGTGACCTATGACGTGACCTTTGACCGTTACTTATGAAAATGTTTGTCCCGGGCATATCTTCTATATTATTTCACCTAGAGTAGCCAGATTTGGTGTACAAGGACATATTGGGATGGCAGAGTGCAAGAAGAAGGTCACTGTGACCTCACTGTGACATATGCTTTGTACTGTTTGTTAAATATAGAAATCATTACTGGTGGGGGACTATGGATTGCCTTGCAATACTTTGCCTTGTTACAAATATAATATGAAATATATAAAATATTACTGTACATGTTTTATAACTCAATATGCAGGTGAACGTAGCAGACTAAAAGCAGATGCTGTGCCATCAGTTTTTCCATTTAAAGATACTAGTATGGAGGAGAGTCCAAGACAAAAGCGACTGAAAACGAGGGAAAACAGATCTGCCCTACAGCCTGAACAAGACAGTTAACCACCAGATGATGTTCAAAGCGAGGTGGTTATTGAATCATCCGAAATGTCCAGGGCCGATACTTTTTCTACATGTTCAACATCTACGTATACTCAGAGTACACAATGTGAAATCAATTCACTTGGAAAATTTTCGGTTGATTTTTTTCGTAGTAATGCTAAAATGATGAACTATTATACAGGTTTTGTTGATTTTGCTCAGTTTATGCTATTTTATCAATGTCTTGGTCCCTGTGTCAATGAGCTCTGTCACCAAGGTTCCTTGTTAGATCCTAGAGACCAGTTGTTTATGGTCCTCATGAAACTTCGTCAAGCAAAAGAGGATGTTGAATTGTCCTTGTTTTTCAAAGTATCTGAATCCACAGTATCAAGAATAGTTGTTACCTGGATCAATTTTTTATATTTTCAACTTAAAGAGTTAGACATTTGGCCTTCAAAGGAAATTATTAAAGAATATATGCCTTCAGATTTTCATAGGAAATTTCCAAACACTAGAGTAATTTTAGATGCCACTGAATTACCAATTCAAAAACCATCAGATGTTAATGCACAGAGTGCAACTTGGTCGTCATACAAGCATAAAAATACGCTCAAAGCAATGATAGGTTGTACACCAAGAGGTGTTGTAAGCTTTGTATCTGACGCTTATGGCGGGTCTGCAAGTGACAGGCAAATTATTGAAAATTCTTCATTACTAAACGAAAGTGTGTTTGATAAAGGTGACAGTATAATGGCTGATCGTGGGATAATGGTTCAGGACCTCTTTGCTACTAATGATGTATATGTAAATACACCAACAATGCTGAAAGGAAAATCACAGCTAGATCCTGAGGAAGTTGTTCATGACAGAAGAGTAGCATCAAAGCGTATACATATTGAGCGTATCATTGGTTTAAGTAAAGGCTTCAAAATTTTGAAAAAAGAACTGCCTCAAAGTAAGTTGCAGTTGGGATCACGTATTGTTTTTGTATGCTTTGCAATCTCAAATTTTAGAAACTGTATTGTTGACAAATATGCATGATTCTGTATACTACAGCTCAGATATGATGTTATCACAACTTATCCTGTGTGTGTACATGGCTACAATATACATACCAAGTTCAAAGAGTTGATGCAATGAAAGGTCTGAAGTATTTGGAATAGAACAATTCTAATTTTGGAATCATTGAATTGTAACAATAATCATGTTCAAGTTCTATCTTCTGCACAAACAAGTCACAAAAAGTGTATACAACAAAAAAGCAAAATTGTCTTTTTGTAATAAAAAGCTGACCTTGAACTTGGTAAAAGTAATTACTGTTGTTTTTCAAGACAATTTTCCCCTGTTCATTGTACATCAAGAAACCAAAATTTTTCCCAGGTTTGATTTTTTCATTGCGACCATTGTATGGACATTTCACTTCCACAATATAGTTGTGGTCAATGATAGCATCAGGTGTTGCACCCAAGAATGGTTTTTGTACATATATGAAAAATCCAGCTTTTTTTGTTTTGATTTGCATTTTTTTCTCAAAAGCTGCCATAGCTTTAGCTTCATAGTTTTTTCCATGTGACATCCCTTCTGAATAGGTTTTGTTTGTATTAAGTAAAGAAGAACAGAGTTTCTGAATATTTCTCCTGTGTGTCATTTTACACACCTCTCCAAATCTGGATGCTGTCAGTCGCCATGCCCTCTCCTTGTACCAGATTTTGGAGGATGACTGGCTCCTTGTGGTCTCCTCAATAATGGAAACCTGCGTTTCTGTGACCTAGAAGTGAAAATGTTTGTGTGTGAATATTTTACATCATTCTGTTGTTTGCAAAGCTGATATATGTTTTACAAAATACATTTGTTGATATTATTATATTTTATTTTTAAATCATGATTTTCATCAGGCTGACAATATAAAGGGTCACTTAATTTATACTAGAACTAGAAGACCAAGTCAATGATGTTTTTCGTATATTGTTGTATGAAGGTTAACAGCATGGTGACTGTCAATACATGTATAATACATGGTTTCAAAGAAAAGTATTTCGTGAAATAATGCATTGATAAATCATAAAATCTGCATTTTTGTGTCAAAAGCACCCTGATGATGCTGTTGAAAAGATGATCCCACAATAAACAGATTAATAACAAACAATAGCTTGCATATAGACATACATTACTTCCATACGATAACCATGAGCTTATATTGTTAATGTTGCTACCTGAACAGCTGAATCCACCCAGTATTCAGTAAATGGAAGGGGTGTATAATCATGGTCCAGTGCAGCTACCTGATGATGATATATCAAATAATGATATATAGATAACATAAAAAAAGGTTATAAATATGAAATTGAAGACTTTTTTATTTTGAATGAAATGTTCCTGGTAGTAATAAAAATGCAGCATTAACATTTGAATTAACATTTTTGAATTTTTCAAACCAGTTCATAATGAAATTTATTGATAAATCTTTATTGAAAAGCATTAGAGAACATTGTTATGTACTTAAATCTTGTTGTGATTACTAGATGTTAACTTCAAACATTTCCAAACTGGAAAATACTTCACCTGTATGTTTGCTCTTCTATAAAGGTATCGCATTGCAACATCTTGAGATGTTGCAGAACAGTGGTTGATGATGCAGTTTCTCACAAAGTCATTATAACCTTCTGTGTTGCGATACTTCTGAGGTCTTGGGTCCTCAAGAAAATCATCCCCGGTTTTCCTTTTAGATGGCAACTCCTCAGCAGCTACAGGGGCACCTGTGATGAGTAGTCCACATATATGTAGAATTAAATCAATGGAAATAATGATTGACATTGATAAAGGGTTTGCTTAAGTGAGGTAAATCTGCATAAAAATTCAGTATCTTAGTGAATATTTATTATATTTTCAAACTATATCTATATTTTGTCAAAGCTTGATATCCTTTATTATGAAATAATAATATCACTATCTATAAACGGATGAATAATTATGTCTTCATATAATGAATTATCAAACAAATATTGTGAGCAATAATACCTTTGTGGGTAAACTTTGGTTTATGGAATGTTTGCAGGCTTTCTGTACATGACTTCTCCACTTGTATCTCACCAGTGTTAATGAAATGCTGCAACATCAGCAGTACTGCAGCAAGGTGTTTACAAGTACCATGGGGTCCTTTACCTGCTGGACACTCACAATGCGTGTTGACAGGATCCCCTGTCAGTTTATCAATTTTCATCTTGAAGTTGTAAGAAACCTGTTATTGTAGTATAACATAAGGTACATGTTAAATGCTAGTAATATATACAATGCATGTTGACAAGATTAAAATAATTGTTATTGTCATTTCATAGAAAACAAACATCAAGTTTAGTTACACTCCAAAATATAGCATGATTGTCCAACTTGAGTACTTTATCAATATAATTCATAGCTACTCTATAATGTTACCTTGTTTTTCATGGCAGCCCCAACTATGCCAGTCATGTAAACATGTTCTTGGATCAGCATGGAGCAAGCCTGAATCCGGTATGCCAGAAACATGTCTTTTCCTTTTTGTAGAGCTTTAATGTCCCCCGTGGACTGTCTGTCATCTAAATAAAAGCAGCTTATGTCATTAGCCAGTACTAGGGGAACATGTATAAATGTAGATATGTAGGGATTGAATCTTGATTTCAGAGGTACAATATCTCATTTATGGATATTTTTATGGGTTATAAACATTCAACATAAATCTACAAACATGATGGCGAAAACAGATTAGTTACTGATATTGTGCATCTATCAAGTAAATGTGGCCGACATTTCATCAGTATTGTTACGTGGATTATGAAACAATATGTATTTGAGTCGTAGAATAGAAGTCCACTTCCAAAATTAAAAACTGATATCATTCATACTAAATGTTACTGTTGTTCTTTAATAATAGTACATGAAGAATATTTCTTCTGAACTGAAAGGAAAGCATTACATTCGTTCAAAAGTTTTACGTTAGGCTAACTTAGGAAAATCCATGTAATGGGCTGGGCACTTAGTAGGCACCAAACACTACTGTTAAAACAGATGGGAAACGTGAATGTTTCCTGTCGCTTAAAATATATATATAATTTACATGACATTTACCTGCCATTCTGAACAAAAAGTAACCTTCAATCTGCTCAGTGGTTAACTTTGGAAGGATAATTTTATGATGGATGTGCAATTGCTGAAAACCTGCAGAAGGCCATCCGACCGCCAAAGGTTCTGGTAAGCTATTAAGCAATGCAGGCTGTCGGAAGTCTTGGTTCCGTCGATATGCTTCTAATCTTTTAAAATGAAAATAATTTATATATAACAAATCATTCACGAAGTATATATTTATATTAAAGAATTTCGTGTACACTATAAGGAAAGTATATGTAGATCTGTACTGAGCAGCAGAACCAACGTTATCATTGACATTGTGACAGCTCGGTTATCTTACAGAAATGCTGAATGGAAAGTATTTAATACTGTGCTTCTATGAATTGTAATGCAAAATATATTATCACCTTTCTATCAGTGCTGTCTTCCTTCCACTCACAACAGCACCTCGTGCAGCCAATTCAGCCTTCAATTTCGGTACCGAATATTTTGGATAGCCGCGGGATTCTGCCTATTTATACCCTCTTGCTATCTTAGCGACACCTAACGGTGAGGGAGGTATAATCACCGGTAGTTTTAATTGTACCTCTAAAACTATCTATCTTCTGAGCGTTTGAAATACAGAGACATAACACAAATGATTAACGCCAACAGATCAACGTATCAAACCTGTATAATATGCTAAATCAGCGAAGGTAGGATTACGATATGTACATTCATCACAATAATCAACCAGATGTCGTAAATGACACCGTTAGTACTTTTATAAACACATAGGTGTTTCTGATACCACCGTAATAAAAATAGCTATTTTACAGTAGCTGAAGATCTCAGACGACACAAAGAACCAAAGAATTGACTGTTCTACTTTCACCTTCTGTGACGTTAGCCCCAACATGCCAAGTGCCATGTCAGAACGTGTTCTGAAGGGAAAACACTGAATGTTTCAAGCCGTGACCAATCCTTCACAAAGTAAAAAAATGAAAACCACAATTCCGTGCAAAATAAACAGCACGGAAGAGATACAGAGCGAAACAGCTTCAGACCGATGAGAGAGTTTATCGACTTCCCTAATAACCCTGCATTTAAAAACGAGAAGCAAGAACTTCTAAATTTGTGAAGTACCTTTTCAATATCTGGACGACCAAATTTTATTTGTCTAGAAATATTCCAACATGTGTGGTATGTTCAGACTCATTCACAGTTTCAACACCCAAGCGCCAGTTACGTGAGGATCTGGCATAATATGTTTTAGATTCATTAAAAACTACAATACATGCTTTTGAGGCGTTGTACTTAAACCTCCATTAACAATTATATCTGTAACATATATTCATCAAAACATCTAGATTACACTTGGTATAAGACAAAAGTACAATATCGTCAGCCTGTGTCGGACAAGTAACCTTAACATCTTTTATCATTAGGGATGCGTTTGAATTGTATAATTCTTCCAATAGATCATTGATATATAATGTATACAACCATGGTGATAATATACTACCCTGCCTAGTACCTTGCTCCATAAGGAACCAGGTAGAGGCAAAACCTTTATATACAACCGCACTTTGCATATCATGATACATTGAAGCTAACATTTTGATAAACTCATTCCTGTAATCGTCATCGTCACACAGTCCAGTCCCCTCCTGTAATTGTCAGATTTGATAGACCCGTCCTGTAATTGTCACACTTGATAGTCCCGTCCTGTAATTTTCACACTTGATAGTCCCGTCCTGTAATCGTCATACTAGATAGTTCCGTCTGTAATCGTCATACTTGATAGTCCCGTCCTGTAATCGTAACAATTGATAGTCCCGTCCTGTAATCGTCATACTTGATAGTTCCGTCCTGTAATCGTCATACTTGAGAGTCCCGTCCTGTAATCGTCATACTTAATAGTCCCGTCCTGTAATCGTCATACTTGAGAGTCCCGTCCTGTAATCGTCATACTTGATAGTTCCATCCTGTAATCGTCATACTTGAGAGTCCCGTCCCGTAATTGTCACACTTGATAGTCCCGTCCTGTCATCGTCATACTTGATAGTTCCGTCTGAAATCGTCATACTTGATAGTCCCGTCCTGTAATCGTAATACTTGATAGTTCCGTCTGTAATCGTCATGCTTGATAGTCCCGTCCTGTAATCGTCACACTTAATAGTCCCGTCCTGTAATCGTCATACTTGAGAGCCCCGTCCTGTAATCGTCATACTTGAGAGTCCCGTCCTGGAATCGTCATACTTAATAGTCCCGTCCTGTAATCGTCATATTGTACATCCCAGTCCTGTTATCGTCACATTTTACAGTCCAGTCCTGTTATCGTCATACTTGATAGTCCCGTCCTGGAATCGTAACAATTGATAGTCCCGTCCTGTAATCGTCATATTGTACATCCCAGTCCTGTTATCGTCACATTTTACAGTCCAGTCCTGTTATCGTCATACTTGATAGTCCCGTCCTGTAATCGTCATACTTGATAGTTCCGTCTGTAATCGTCATACTTGATAGTCCCGTCCTGTAATCGTCACACTTGATAGTCCCGTCCTGTAATCGTCACACTTGATAGTCCCGTCCTGTAATCGTCATATTGTACAACCCAGTCCTGTTATCGTCACATTGTACAGTCCAGTCCTGTTATCGTCATACTTGATAGTCCCGTCCTGTAATTGTCACACTTGATAGTCCTGTTCTGTAATTGCCACACTGTACAGTCCCATCCTGTAACTGTCTCAATATATAGTACCGTTCTGTAATTGTCACACTGTTCAGTCTCGTCCTGTAATCGTCACACAGTACAGTCCCATCCTGTAATTGTCTCAATATATAGTCCCGTTCTGTAATTGTCACACTTGACAGTCAAGTCCTGTAATCGTCATAATGTACAGTCTAATCTTGTCCTGTAATCGTCTCACTAAAAAGTACCGTCCTGTAATTGTCTCAATGTATAGTCCAGTCCTGTAATCGTCACATTGTACAGTCTTGTCCTGTTATCGTTACACTGTAAAGGCCCGTCATGTTATCGTTTACCGTACAACCTAATAACTGTTTGCACATTACATTGGGGAAAAAGGTTAATTTTGAAGTTTTCAGACGTGATTCACATAATATTCAAAACGTTTATACATTTAAAGCAGATTAAATTGATCTGAAAAGGTTGATCCTAACATATACATGTCATCCTTCTTCATAATATAATAAAATGTTGATGTAGCGAGTTCCGCGATTTACGCCTGTGCGTCAACCGCTGACGTTACCTAATTGTGAGTGAAAATAAATGAAAAAAATTCTCGCACGGTGTAAAATTTCAGTCTTAAAATAGATTTAAAATGCCACATTTTCTCGCACCTCAGACAGAGATATCCCACGTCATACCCCATGCTAGATTTTTTTTATATCCGTCCGATCTATCTTGCACCTTTACGTGACATTTCGCGGAATTTGTACAGTGCGATGTACTCATCCGCGCGTTAACTGCTTGAAATTGACAATCTGCATTATAAATGTTCTGTTTAGTCGTTATATGTATAGTTGTGAAGTTTAGATATCTGATGTTGTAGATAAAATATAATCTACACTGTGAAATACGTTGTCATCTATGTAAGAACGGACTACATTTTTACGCGGAAGCATTCAAATTTAGCCTAAGTAGTGAAGAGGTCATTATTATTTGAGGCCCCAGACGGGATACTTAAAGTTTTTAGCAAAATATTTTGTTTTTCGAACTAAAAGGTGCGAGAAAAAAATCAATTACCTGTAACTGAGCAAGATCGGGTTATCTCAGTCTCGGGCTAAGATTCTGTAACACCCAACCTGGACTTACGCCTAGGTTAGGATTTTTTTTACAGAATCTTAACCCTCGACTGAGATAACCCGATCTTGCTCAGTTACAGGTAATAGATTTTATTAAGGTTGAAATAAAGGTTATGTCGTCATACTTTTACCTCATTACATTTTATGACGTCAGCACTGAGGTTCAAATCGGATCGGCATTGGCGGCATTCAAAGGCATATGACGTCAAATTAATGCGGCGACTTTTCGTCTCTATAATTTCAATTTCTTCCGAGAAATGGGGAGAGGCATTCAAGGTAACAGACACAACATTTTTTTTTTGCTTTTGTTTTTGTTTCCCATCTTCAAAAAACTATATTTCAATCTACACAAAAAGGATCTTCTCTCAATTGGACTATTAAAAAAAATCATTTGTTTTCACTTTTATTTTCACTTTCGGAACAGAGATATTTTAAGAAAGTCTCAATTGTGTCCTTTCCAAATCATTTTCCAGACCAATGAAATACCATTTTTGTAATATTTCGGTGTATCGTTCGCTGTAGTCTACATCGTTTTATTTATTGAAGATGTCTTGATTGTATTTCGTTTACTTTTTAATAATGTTCATCCGGATGCGCATAAACTGATAAAAAGTCCATTATTTACACATAGATGAGTTGTGGCGGTATATATTATGCTACTCACACATAGATGAAATGTGGCGGTATAGATTATGTTAATCAAACATATATTAATTGTGGCGGTATAGATTATGTTACTCACACATAGATGAGTTGTGGCGGTATAGATTATGTTACTCACACACATATATGAGTTCTGGCGGTATAGATTATGTTACTCACACATAGATGAGTTGTGGCGGTATAGATTATGTTACTCACACATAGATGAGGTGTGGCGGTATAGATTATGTTACTCACACACATATATGTGTTCTGGCGGTATAGATTATGTTACTCACACATAGATGGGTTGTGGCGTTATAGATTATGTTACTCACACATAGCTGAGCTGTCGCGGTATAGATTATGTTACTCACACATAGATGAGTTGGGGCGGTATATATTTTGTTACTCACACATAGATGAGTTCTGGCGGTATACATTATTTTACTCACACATAGATGAGTAGTGGCGGAATAGATTATGTTACTCACACATAGATGAGTTGTGGCGGTATATATTTTGTTACTCACACATAGATGAGTTCTGGCGGTATAGATTATTTTACTCACACATAGATGAGTAGTGGCGGTATAGATTATGTTACTCACACATAGATGAGTTGTGGCGGTATAGATGAGTTGTAGCGGTATAGATTATGTTACTCACACATGATATAATTGACTAACAGTTCTCTCTATATATGAACTCACGTGTGTGGTATATTTTAACACACGTACTATACAAAGTGCACATTTACTGATTTGTTCCCAAACGTGCAATAAAAGTACACATAATTTTAAAACACATGTGGTGTCCATGGCATTAATTGTCAAAAGAGGCCGGGATCTGGACCTGTTGGTAATTATATGGCTGTTCAGTAATGTTTTAAAGCTATTAAGGTTAATTGCTGTACAAATGTAGCAATCACTTCCATAGACTGTTCCATGTTGTTATTGTTCTGATACTGAAAACATTTATATTTATTCCAAGACGAAACGGTTTCTTGAACAGCCCTTTTAGATGCCCCCTGGTCCCCATATTAAACACATTTTCATAGTCCCCATATTAAACATATTTTCATAGTCGATGTTATATAGGATTTTGTAGATTTTGATAAAGTCTGCTCTCTCTCTTCTATATTCAAGTGTAGGCAGTCCCAATTTTCGCAACCTTTCATTGTTTGATATGAACATTTTCAATGGATATTTTGTTTTTGAAGAGGATTGCGGACCATATAGGGGTTACCATACTCTAAATGTGGTCTGACGATCAATTTGTACAGTATTGTAAACATGTCTGCGTCAATTTAAGTGAAAGTACGGAAGATAGTACCGAAGATTCGGTTAGCCTTTGTACCTGCAATGTTAACATGGTCTGAAAATCTCAGTTTATTGTCTAAAGAGACGCCAAGATCCTTCTCGTTTTCGACTTCTCTATTTAAGTTGTATTATCAGAAAAATGGAGATTGTAGATGTGGTTAATTCACATGAATTTTCCAATTTCCATGTGTTTACACTTGTTGGTGTTTAATTTCATAAACCAGTCGTCGTTCCGCTTACATATGTTGTCTTTGTTGTCCTGAAGGAGTTTACATTCTTCGTAGTTGGAGATTTTTGAGTATACTTTTGTATCGTCCGCAAAGAGTTTGGTGATACAATTGATGACTTCATGCATGTCATTGACATAGATCAAAAAAAAAATTGGTCCTAGAACGCTACCCGGAGGTACCCCACTGGTGACGGGCTTACTTTTTGAGAATTGTCCATTTACGAACACTTCTTGTTTCATGTCACTTAGAAAATCCTGTATCCATGCTAATACTTTCTCTTGTATGCCATTGTACTGGAGTTGGTTAGGTAGCTTTATACCATCAAATGCTTTTTGATGGAGTTTGCCGTCTTGGCTATATGTTGTGGGTGGATGTTATCAGGTCCCTGTGTTTTATTTGGATTAGTATCCTTGATTGCCTTGGAAATAGTGATGTCGGTTACATGTTCTTGTAGGATTGTTGGCGGTAGATATGGAATGGGTGCGTTAGAGTCTTGGACAAACATGCTGACAAGTTGCCGTTTTAGTTTAAGACCGGACTATTTTCTAAAAGGTTTCGAATTCGATTTGATTTAAGCAACAAGGTCCCTCTCAAACTGGTATCTACAATTCTTAGTCCTTGATTTTACGTAGTTCCTAGCCACTTTGTAGTTATAGAAATGTTGATCCGTTTTGCAAGCAATGAAGGTATTTGTTTGTCTCCTTGTGATAGCGCAGAACTGATGCCGACTGTATAGTGCCTCCTCACTGAAACAACTGCCGAAGACACCCAGCAGGACACCCACCCGGTCACATTATACATACAACGGGCGAACCATTCGTCCCACTCCTAAATTGTTGAGCGTTAAGCAGGAGTAGAAACTACCATTTTTACAGACTCTGGTATGTCTCGGCCAGGGGACAGAACCAAAAGCCCTTCTCACAGGGGCGAACGCTCAACTAAAGGTCAAAAGTGAGGCATTGTCAAGGAACGATTTGATCTTGTAATGTGCAGCAATGCCGTTAACACAAAGTTGTAATGTGCAGCAATGCCGTTAACACAAAGTTGTAATGTACAGCAATGCCGTTAACACAAAGTTGTAATGTACAGCAATGCCGTTAACACAAAGTTGTAATGTACAGCAATGCCGTTAACACAAAGTTGTAATGTACAGCAATGCCGTTAACACAAAGTTGTAATGTACAGCAATGCCGTTAACACAAAGTTGTAATGTACAACAATGCCGTTAACACAAAGTTGTAATGTACAGCAATGCCGTTAACACAAAGTTGTAATGTACAACAATGCCGTTAACACAAAGTTGTAATGTACAGCAATGCCGTTAACACAAAGTTGTAATGTACAACAATGCCGTTAACACAAAGTTGTAATGTACAGCAATGCCGTTAACACAAAGTTGTAATGTACAACAATGCCGTTAACACAAAGTTGTAATGTACAGCAATGTCGTTAACACAAAGTTGTTATGTACAACAATGCCGTTAACACAAAGTTGTAATGTACAACAATGCCGTTAACACAAAGACACATTTAACAAAGAGGCAGGATACAATGAGTTGGAATTTATGTCAAAACAAATAATTGCAATGTATGCATGTTTTACAGATGTATCCAAAACGTCAGACACATACATGGATGAACGAACAAATATATTCACAAATCATGCTTCATTTAAAATAATGCGATTATTCATGGCGAGCATGCGCACTAGTATTTCTATACGATATGTTTGGTAGATGGGCCGGAAGTGACGACGCGTTTGCTTTTTCTTCACAGTCTACCAACCATTTCACAATTCTTTGTGTACAATCCAACTTTTTTCGAAAGTATGAATTAAGAACTTTTTGAGTCAAATTTAAATGTTCGGTGCTTTTCTCAAACTCATGAATATCTTCGATATCAGCTATAGTTACGTCATTTATATGTTTTATATTCCGGAAGAGAGGGTTAGTTACTTGGTTCCTTGGAGTGAAGGGTACCTTTGATGGATTGTATGGATAGCTGTCGTCGTCATCAGTGTCCACATCCTTGTTACCTGTAAGATACGAACAGATATTAAACTTCATCGATACCTATATAACAGTAGTGGGAAAATGTACCGCCATGAAGTGATTAAAACATATCGAAGACTTTATACCTCGTTGCAACGGTTATTAGTTGCGCATCTGATGCAACGGGGTCAACTAGACTGAGATTCGAAACCAAACCTAACTCGAGAAGCACGGTCTAACCCACTGAGTTACATATGTACCAGGTTATGGGTTATCTAGCTAGTTCTGTTCCACCTCATCGAAAATGTATACCCCTGGTATAGACGAAACCCACATATGATACCAGAAAGAGGTACCTATACAGCTTGGATGAACGACACACATGCTACAAGGAAGAACTTATCGAATAGGCCTTTGGGATTCCTTTTTATCTACAAAAGTACGGAAGCCCTGGAAGAACATTTTTAGTTACCACTTATTTGTTAGCATTTAATTTGTTACTACTTATTTGTTATTCCTTATTTGTTATCCCTTAATTGTTATTACTTATTCATTATACTATTAATATTGTTTCATATTCATCCTTTTGTGTTTATGCTCCGTTGTGGAGTACCATCGAGTGCTCAATTGTTTGGAAACTATCAAAAGTCCATTTTTGTTATTTCTTACTTCTTATTTGTTATTTGTTAATTCTTATTTGTTAGTACTTATTTTTTAATACTTATTTGTTAGTACTTATTTTTTAATACTTATTTGTTAGTACTTATTTCTAAATACTTATTTGTTATTCCTTGTTTGTTTTTGCTAATTAAGCAGGAAACCTCAGTAATAATATAAAATGTTCACTTTTAATTAATCAATTAAGCGTGTCGATTAATGTAAGCTTTACCAACAGTAACAATTTAATTACATGTATTTTGCATGTTCGTTAGAGCTGCAGCCATCCATTTTGCCGGACAACCTTACCTCGTTTTACCGTAATTATCAAATAGCCAATAAATAATAACAAATAAGGAATAACGAATGAGTAGTAACAAATTAAATGCTAACACATAAGTGGTAACTAAAAATGTCCCTCCAGGGCTTCCGTATGTATTTGACGAATGTTACAGGCAGTCAGTAAACATTTTTACTAGATGGCATTGTAAACAAAGCTCAAGATTCATATGCGACGGTTTTTACACGTAAACAGATTGATCTATCTTAAATGAAATGAAAAAATTATATCATTAAGTGGATCTTAAATTGTAAAACAATATTAGCACATATGAAGATTATTATGTATGAAAATATAAGATATTACAAACGAGTCGTGTTTTAATTGGTATACTTTTTAAATGTAAACCAGTAATTAGGAGAGAGAGAGAGAGAGAGAGAGAGAGAGAGAGAGANGAGAGAGAGAGAGAGAGAGAGAGAGAGAGAGAGAGAGAGATGATATTAATATACCAAAAACTAAATCACTGCGACGAACAAGCGCACAACCAAGGAGGTAGTATTAATTACACTTTCAGAATCGTTCGTACGTTTACTTTTTCTTGAGACATTTTGTCGAGAAACCGACTGCCTGGTGGAATTCTGTCGAGAAACACTTGGTCGTGGTTTGGAGACACTTCGTCGAGAAATGTTTTGTTTTGAGACAGTTCGTCCGGGTTTTGTTGGTGATTTAACACTTTCCATAGAACCTGAGCCAAACGCAATCTTCCTATATGGCATCTCGCGTTATCGCCTAATCCACCATGTTTGTATGACACGAAGGAATGAATGAATCCCAGCTCAGAGACCCACTGCGCGATTGTACAAACATTGAACACACATTTGGTATAGTATCATGTAAGAGAAGCCTATGCGTCAAATAGGTGTTATATAGAGTAAAATGAATATAACATGCATTTTCGATTTGAATTGCAATTCAATCGAACAGTGGATATTACACAGGCTTTTTACAAGGGAAATATAGCGAGTATTCATTTTTTCAAATAACTGATGATTTCATTTAGATTTTAACTTAAAAAATGTGCAATGGGTTATACTTAGGTAAGAATTGATATTGATGAAGACGTACTGAGATTTATTTCATCTCCACTTGCTCAGAACATTTCTATATAAATGACATTGAACAGGTTTTTTTCAATGTTCCAAATAACATGATAGCTTGGCGTTTGTACATGTGCAGATCTAGGCGGGATTTCACTGTTTTGATCTCGTACATTGTATATACATGTATATGAAAATGTTTTGCAAAATTATTTGAAAGAGTTTTATGTCAAAAGCTAGGAGGATTAAGGTTTGGGTCAAATTGTCTGATTGAGATAGGACTCACCCTGCTGACATATATCCTTCAACTTTATTCTAAATGTCTATACAGAAGCAACCAACTGATTGGAATTCAAGTTCTATATCTGTACCCTTGTCAAACTCCTGATTCAATACAGCACTTTCCTTCCGTTGAACTCTGCTTCGCCTTTAATTGTATATGAGTATGGTTTAATATCTAAGTTGTGATTTAGCGCTTGCTTGTTAGGTCGACAGGGATATTTATTTATCCATACAGACATTCTTTCTTTAACATTTATCTAATACAAGAGGTATATTTACATATTAAATATTTGTGATTAGTAACAATTTGCAAATACGATACAAACTACGTAAAAATCCACGCAAATTCGAACATTAAAAAGTTGTACATATATCTTAAAGTTGACCAATCTTAAACGGTTGTGCTTCTGAATAATCTGTGTTAAACTTCTATTGTTAAACCAACACCGAAATGTAATTATGTATAACGAACACTTTAATCGGGTTAAACAGAGTTAGACACTAACCTTTTTTTTGCTTGGTAGTCCACAGGACTAATTGAATAGATTAATTTAGTGTCGACCCCTGTTAAATCTACTAGTCCAGGACTAGTGGGGACTAGTGTTAGTGTCGACCCCTGTTAAATATCATAATCATACACATAATACTTCTTATTACTACCTCATGTCAATGAATTGAGTGGGGAGACAACTCGGGAAATCAAACCAATATGTATGTATTTAGTGCAACCTGTTTGTAGAAGTCACGACTATCTAACGTTACACATTTTATACATGTCTTTGTGTTTTTTTCAGAATATACCTCGCATAGACGTTACGCGCGATGTTGGTGACACATTGTGTAACGCAATATGACGTCGTTTTTATAATATTTGACGTCGCTTTTTAGATGTTTTATCATATTTTGCAGTAGTTTGTATGACCGTGCTGTCAAAGAAAAATAATCAACATAAGCTGATGATTTTTTTCATAGTTGTTGTGAAATAAATAAAGATTAAAAGTTGGCCAGGATTAGGAGAAGACAGATCTGGGTTGTGGGATGGCTTATTTTCTCAAAATCGTTCCCATCGTTTCAGAACATGTCGGTTGTCCCATTTTTGGACTTTTGCTGTACATACGTCAACAGAGAGCATGTATCAACGTCAGATATATGTTGTTTTTACTATATTTCTTCAATTATGTTTATAAGTTTTGACTTTATCCACGTAGTGTTTCACAATTATAATGATGCATTAGTTTAACTCGAAATAATAAAATGACCCCACGGTTTCTACTGATGTTTGACGCTCTAATTGTTACGCAACGTTATTTCCGTTACGTCGCCTTAGTGTGACATTTTACGGAAACTGAAAAGTGTAGTGCGATTCATTTCATTATTGATTATATAACAAAGGTGAAAAGTGTTTCATTCTATTTAGTCGAGACACATTCTTATCAGGACAAAACTATTTTATTTCATGTTTCGTAATTAACTGTTATACGTCCTCAAAGTTTTAATTTATGCAAAATGTACGTCAAAAACGACTACTGGACAAATTTCGGAATTATTCATTTTGCCTATTTTACAAGAAAACGTTCTTTCAGATAGATAATTTTCTTCGTATGATAATTTCGACAAAGACACATTACAAATATAACTTTATATATCTCAAGTATCCTCCTGTCAACACGATAGATTCATACCCAGCTTACATTATGTTCATATAGTGGTTTGGGGAAGATTTGGTAAATATGCAGATCACTAATCCCAATAAAACTTTTTGACGTCATTTGTGACGTCATTCTGCTTCCGTAAGTCTTGTTATTAAATTCTTAACTTTTTTGGCGCGAATTTATGGGATTTCTTTGAAACGTTTTACCCCTAAGATGTTACGCGTTTCACGAGTTATTGCCACATTTTCGAGGTTGTTTAGATGAAACAGGATACTTCATGTTGTGTTATACTATCCATAATTAGCATAAGACGAATGAAATTGAAGAAACGTCTTCTGTGATACAATGTATATGATGTGACATCAACTTTTGAAAACTGAATAATACAGCATTAGTTTTAGCTGACGCCATGCGTGTTTTGGACCGCCATCGCGCGTAACGTCTCAACATGAACAAGGTATATATTTAGTAAATGTTACAGTTCATAACACACATTTTTTTCATATTTTCTTTTTTTTTAATAATACTCTTTCATAAATGGTATATAAAATGTGTGTAAATAAAAACAAAAAGGAACCACGGAAACAAAACCAAAAAATTAATAGATTGAGAAAGTTGACTGAAAGACAGTCAGAAAAAATAGAGTAGGATCAACAAACAAAAATGACAAGATAATTTGGACAAAGAGGAACAATCACTCTGGTCTATATTTGCATTACTGTCAATTAGTGATAGGGATACAAATTTAATCGTTTGAAATCGTAAATGTTCGTTATAACTGACTGAAAATACAAGTTAATAATTTTCGCCATTTTTCCGGCCGTTCCGAAAATTAACAAGGTCTCTTATACATCGATTATTTCCAATAGAGATTTGAATATTGTTGTGATCCTTAATTAATGTTTGATTCGCTGTATAAAAAAAAGGCATTGTAAGAAATTTTCCTTTATATCTTCTGTTTCATTTCAAAATAATTATAGTGTTACTTTCTTATTTCAATATCTTTATATAAATCAAACATTTATATCGAAAGGAATAAGTAAATATCTGAATAACTAAATATTTTGTAATTTGTCACATTCCCTTGTCCCTGTCTTTGTCAATATTTAAAGTTTTACAGAATTCTTGTCATATTTCAATTCTGAAGGTCAAAAGTGGGATATTTTTATCTTCACATCGTAAATTCTATTCAGAATAAATAATGCCATACACATTATGTAATCTTCGAGACCTACCAATCAATTACCAATACCTTAGTCAATGTTAAGCCTTGATATTTGTCAAAAATTCCAAGTCCAAACCAAAAAAAAAAAAACAACCTTAAAAACCCCTCTCCTCCATGTACTATGTCTACCTCAGATCACCTCTCATCTCCATGTACTATGCCTACTTCAAATCACCTCTCACCTCCATGAACTATGGCTACCTCAGATCACCTCTCACCTCTATGTACTATGTCTACCTCAGATAACTTCTCATCTTCCTGTACTATGGCTACCTCAGATCACCTCTAACTTCCATATACTATGGCTTCCTCAGATCACCTTTCACCTCCATGTACTATGCCTACCTCATATCACCTCTCAACTCCCATGTACTATGGCTACCTCAGATAACCTCTCACCTACTTGGACTATGCCTACCTCAGATCACCTCTCACCTCAAGGGATATGCCTACCTCAGATCACCTCTCAACTCCATGTACTATGGCTACCTCAGATCAACTCTCATCTCCATGTACTATGCCTACCTCAAATCACCTCTCACCTCCATGTA